GACAGGTCGGTGCGCAGCTGGCGCGCGCTGACTGCGCAGTGCGCAGCTGGCGCACCAATCACAGGGCCGCTTTGCGGCGGTGCAGGTGGCGAGGCGCGGGTATAAAGCTAGAGCGATCGGAGCGGTCAGGCATCATTGTCCCTCCGGCTTCGTCCGCGATACATCGTCACTCCGGCCTCGTCCGCGATACATTGTCACCCTGCTCCTTCGCCTTCGTGCATTTCCTCTCCTTCGGTCTTCGTACCGTTCCTCGGCCCTCGTGCCACTCCTTCGGTCTTCGTGCCGTCCCTCGGCCCACGCGCCGCTCCTCTCCTTGGCCTTCGTGCCCGTCCTTCCCCATTCTCTTCACTTCCACCGCCATGGACTCCAAGTTATTGGAGATCCTGGACGAGTGGGAGGAGGGAATGTTTATGTTCCCGGAGCTGCTCGAGGAGGCGTACACGACCTTTCTTGGGCAGCTCGTTGGAGCCACAGCAGCAGAGCGGAGCGACCCTCGCGTCATTCCGTTCCTGCTTGCGGGGTACACAGCGTACACAAAGCAGCACAAGGGTAAAGATCCTCAAGCGGCCCTCACCTACCGCATGGCCCTGGCCATGGTAGGGTGCGGGTCTAACGCTCCGCCCCGCGCTGCCGCACCACGCTCCGCTACTCCCCGGGCCGCCACGCCACCAGTAAAGGCCGCCACTCCCCGGGTCGCTACGCCTACGCCGAGGTCCCCATCCCCTCAGCCAGGCCCCTCCAAGCCGAGGTCCCCATCCCCTCAGCCAGGCCCCTCCAAGCCGAGGTCCCCATCCCCTCAGCCAGGCCCCTCCAAGCCGAGGTCCCCATCGCCTCAGCCAGGTCCTTCTACCTCACCAGAGGCAGCCAAACGCCTCAGGGAGGAGGAGGGAGTGGAGGAGGAGGGAGTGGAGGAGGAAGAGGGTCCCACTTTAGAAGTGCTTCAATCAAGGGAGCGTGTCCTCAAACGATTTAAGGATGTAAAATTCCGTGAGGAGGTCATTCAAATTAAAGGGCTAGCTACTGCGTCACTTCCTTCAGAGCAGTTAATGGCTGACATGTTAAATACCATATTAGAGCGGCAGCGTGTGGCCTCAAAGGCAAAAGACGATGACCGCGTCATTCTGGAAATACAACCTTCAGAGAACACAGAAAATCCTCTCTGGTTCTCGATGAGACGCACTGACCAGCTGTCCGGTCAGGTCATCATGGACAAGTTGGCACGTGTTTTGAATAGCAATCAGACTTTCATATCCTCGGAGGGAAGACTTACAGTGAATTACATTCACATTCCTACACCAGAGGGAGGAGGCCGCCGTACGAACCGAGTGCCGAACGAAACCATAGAGGATTGGCTTACGCGTTTTATCGACTCGGCGACGATATGGTCTCCTGACAATGTCGACGACCAGATGTGCCTGACTCGGTGCGTAGCATTGGCCATAGCTCGAAAAACGATGCATCGACAGGCATTTTACAAGATGAAGCAACGAGGCTCAACTCTACAAACAGATAAGGCTACTTATTTCTGTGAAATAGCGGGGATCGACCCTGCAAAGGAATGTGGACTAGATGAAGTGCGCCAGCTCCAGGATGCGCTTCCAGATTATCGCATCTGTGTCTTCACTGACAAAAAAGGGAAGGAGTGTGTTTTTAAGGGGGAATACAGTGCTGGGCGGACAAATATTTACCTACTCTTACATAACAATCATTTCTACACCATTTTCTACCCATGCCAGGCGTTTGAACACAAGTATGAGTGCATCGCATGTGCTGTATTTTACAACCACCATGAAGATCACATTTGTGAGGGGGTGTGTTGGCGATGTTTTTCACATAACGATCACTCTGATCCCACTCTCGAGTTACACCGTTGCCCTGACTGTGGTCACCAATTTGCAGGGGATGAGTGCTTCGAGATGCATAAAACTGTCAAGTTGGTCAACACTGACCAGACCAAATGCTCTACCTTTAAATTTTGCCATTCATGTAAGCGAAGTTACTCCCTGAAAAGAGGCGTGTCCC